CCGCACTGCTGGCTCATGTGCCTGTTAGAAACCACAGCACAGACCTTCCAGTGCTCCGTCTGTGGGTAGAAATCCCAGTGTGTGGTAGGCAGGAAAGCTCCATGCATTCCCAAGTGTGCCCTTTTGGCAAGGGATTTACTTCTCATCCTCTCAGCTCCAGAGTCTCCAAAGTGAGTATAGCACTTGGTGCTAATATGAGCCAATTAAGATTTTGGGTAGAAAAAGCTGTTGCTGTGGTAGCACGTGCTGTTCTGTTGTTTGGTGGCTGTGTGACACCGCAGGGACTTCTAAAAGGTGTTTGTGGCTCTTAGCTGGGTGGTTTGTGCATTCCCTCTGTCCCTGTGGAAATGCTGTTCACTGACAGTCACTGAGCACTGCCTGTTTGTCTCTCCAGGTATCGTGGAGGACTACAAACCACCGTTCTATGACTTGGTCCCGAACGATCCCAGTTTTGAAGACATGAGGAAGGTGGTCTGTGTGGATCAGCAGAGGCCCAACATTCCCAACAGATGGTTCTCAGACCCGGTCAGTGGGGGCTGTGGGCTGGCACACACTGAGCTCGTTCCCTGACAGGAGCTCCTTTCCTGACAGGAAACTGGAAGTTCCTTTCAGTTGTCACTTGAAATGGAAGTGATCTCAATGGGCCATGTCAGCCTCACTACCTGTGCAGGTGTTGGAGCTGCTCTGCCCTGCACCCTGTGGGGGCACTGAGCCAACTGATGCCTGTCAGGTCTGAGCTAGTCACAGCTCAGCCTTCTAGGAGCATGATTTGGCAATAACTCTTCCAGCTGCTCCTCCTGGGCTGCTGTTGTCCCTCCGAGGGTAAATCAGGGGGAGGGAAGCCAGTCCAGGGGAAGCACACAAAACAGTGTTGGTCTGTCCTGCCTATGGGGTAAGGGGCTGTTGTTCTGCTTGAAAGGCTGGTGCTGAAGTTTGTTTTTCTTCAGCAGCATCAGCCTGGCCTCTCCAGGCTGCCCAGCTGTGCTGTCCTTGCCACCAAAGCTGTGGAGGTCAGTTTGGGCCCAACTCCGAGGTTGGGTGTGGAGCTGTGCCCAGCTGGGAGCTCTGCCAGTTAGACCTGGGCTGGGGGATCACAGACAGGAAATCTGCACCTCTGTGGGTCTGCAGGAGTTGGTTTCTCTGGAAAGAGATTCTGTGGAGTGTTTTCTTAGACAAAAGCCCAGAGCTCCACTGTTGCAAGTTACACCAGCTGGTCCATCCAGTCAGCCCACGGGCGAGTTGCGCTCTCGGTTTAACCGTTAGACTTTGGGAGCTTTTCAACACGTGGAAACGCTGTAGACCCTGAGAATGGAGCGTGGCCTAGGCCATAAAACCTGTGTGTGGGAGCACTGGGTGGGGTCAGGAGCTCTTGGCCTGTTGGTCGTCGGACTGACCCGTGTGCTCTGTCTCTGCTCTCCCCAGACGTTAACGTCCCTGGCCAAGCTGATGAAGGAGTGCTGGTACCAGAACCCCTCGGCCAGACTGACAGCCCTGCGCATCAAAAAGACTTTGACCAAAATTGACAATTCCCTAGACAAGCTGAAGGCTGACTGTTGACCCTGTCCTCGCGGTGCTCCCCCTCGGGGGGCACTCGCTGGCCCGGGGGGCTCTGCCAGGCAGGCCGCACACGTCCCGCGTGGCTGCCGAGCGGGAGCTCTGCGGCTCCGT